GGTCCCTCCCAGGAGCTGAGCAGCTCCGTGCTGCCTGCCCCCAGCCCGCAAGGAAAGCGAACGTGCGCGTGATGGCGAAAGGTCGCGCATTCAGAGACCAAGAAAGGACATTTCTGCTCGAGCACAGGCCAGATGCACACCCCGGCACAGCATCTTCTCTACAACGGTGCTCTCCCAGCCTCCAGCAGTTCCCAGCTTGGGAACCTCATGGGGCTGGCACGGCTTTCATGGATTGCTCTCCCGCAGAACCGTCCTGTCTCCTCGTGGACCACCATCAGCTTTTATCACCCACCAGGTCCTGCAGCAAGGAGTTTGCAGCTTAAGGTTGTGTTCAAAGCTTAAGGTTTATGGTTGGACTCGATGATCTCAAAGGTCTTTACCAACCTAAGCGATTCTACGATTCTAAGCGTGCGTCCTGCGAAAGCCACCTCCTCTGGGGTGCTGCAGACCAGGCCTGCTCCGAAGGCCATCTGCACCTACGATTCCAGATCACTGCCCCTCCTGCCCAGCCACAGATCGGCTCGGTGCTCCCTGTCACCCCAGGACAGAAAACTCACCCAAAAGAGCTCTCGGCATTGCACTGAGCGCCCAGGGCCTGCTCTGACATCCTGAGTGTTGAAACCAGCTCCCGTTTCTTCTCTCCTTCCAACCAAGGCATCTCGCAGCCAGTTCCTACGCTGGAGCATCCATACGGAGGTGAGAAGGAAGAGGAATCAGCCATGGCAAGAAAAGATGCTGTTGCCAGCTGTTCTGCTCGTACCCTCGGAAGGATGAGGAGCCGTCACAGATGCTGGAGTTGAAGTCATGTGCTTCTTTCTTTTAATTAAAGCATAGGACCTACAGCCTCTGAATCTTGAGGCAAGCTTACCGCATGAGATGCCTGACTAATTAAAATGGGCTGTTTAATTAAAACTTGCATTCAGTCAGGAAGCTGGTGAAGCTAATCTGCTGCTAATTGGCCTTTGGCTCCAGTCACGAGAGGCTGACTTTTGGACTCGATGTTTGCTAAGAAGACAAACCAGGAGCTCTGCCCGGAGCTGCAGCCTGGGCTGAGCCTGCCCCAGGAGACGGGAGCCTCACGATCCTCCCCGGGGAGGTGCCTTCGCGC